CGGGGAAATGTTCTTGCCGTGTACTCCACGAGGAAGAGGACGAGTTCACATGGCATAGAAAACTCCAGCAATCTCGCTTCCGCGGCCCCAGCAAAATTGCTGGTTTTTCTGTTTTCTGCAGAAGGATTTTCTAACCGAAAATTTACCAGATGTTTAAACGATTAAAAAAAGTCAACTAAAATAATGAAAAATGGGTATTTTTAAACAGTGATAATTTGTAATTGGAAATTTCCAGAAATCCTATTCTCAAAATGCAAACCGAATCGAGTGGATGTGTTTTCTGTGGGAAATGAAGAACGGGATTCCACCAATCATTCGATTTGAATAGTCTTCTCATGAACTAAAAAAAAATTTTTTTTTTCATTCAAAATAAAAATATCAAAAATTGAGTTATACAGCTTCACTCTCCCTGTACATTGTAGAATTGTCCTCAACTTTGGCGGCTGGAACTGTGCAACGGAAGCAGTCGAAGAGCTCTGAAAATATACTAATTTTAAAATTCTCTGTTTCACCATCTAATGGAATTTTTCCATTTTTTCAACATGCTACTCTTGAGGAATAATTTATAAAAATTTCAAACTCCCGCCAAACCTAAAACAACTTACCATAGAACGCTAGTCTATACTCTTGTACAATGAACATAATTGGTAGAGGGTCTACAGCCGGGTAGAGTGCGTACAAGTACGTCGTGACGTATGACCAACTTCCAATGTCCACGTGGAATAGTGGAGCAGTGAATAGGGCTCCGAGGGGTAGGAAGAATAGGAATACAGGGAGAAATGTCTGCAAAAAATAGGCTGAATGAAGTCGTTAGTGCATTATCTAGAAAATGAAATGTGAAAAATATACAAAGTTTTTGAAACGGCATTTTTTGTTAAAAAATGGCAAGGTCCAAAGATCGGTTCCCTCGATGTTTCACCTATGAACCCTTATTTACAGTTTCATTGGAAATGTTGTATCAAAAACCCGATTTGCTGGATTTACGCCTCCCTGAATCTCTCAACTTTGACTCAATTTATCTTGGTTCCTGTCAAAGATATGGAAACGCTGTCAACTGATAAATTGTTTATCACCAGCATGTTTGCCGCGCCTCCGGTGCTTCAAACAGTTGGATAGTGCGCCTTCGGCGCGATGAGACCTATTCATTGTACTGTTCGTCGCTCCGCTCCTCACTTTTTCATTTTTCTTTCTCAAAGGATCACGTCATTCATATTTTATTTTCAAGTTTTTCGATATTGTGACACACTTTCAGGATTTCCAATTTTCGAAAGATTTCTGGATTTCTGTCTTTTTTAATTCAAAAAATCGGAAATCCTGTAAATTCAGAATAATAATCTCGGGGTTCCAAAAAATCACGATCCGCGATTTGGAAACTCAAAAACTTGGGAAAAACTCTCAAATTTCCATATTTAGATATTTACTTGAACATATGAAAATTCGCGAGTTTTGTAATTGCGAAAAGTGTTGAGTTAGGACCGTCTCAATTTCTCAATTTCCAAATTTCTTAAGTTACGAATTAGAAATTCTGAAAGTCAAAACTCGAAGTCTTTCGAATTTAAAAAAAATCATGAATTAACCTTCCGAAAACGTGGACATTCGGACTTGAAACTTCTGAATATTGACAATGAAGAATTTTGGAACTTTCGATTTTTTGTAATTGATCCCTAAATCCCCAATTGTCTTTACAATTTCTGGATATCTTTATTTTAGACATTCCAAATATTCAAACTTCTGAATATCCAAAGATACGAATTGAGACCTTGAAAAGAATAAGCGCGGAAGAATTTCTATTAGTAAATCTTAGAAACATTTTTAAACTCTTTTTAGCTTTGCACCTATATAGTCTAATTTAATGCCATGGCGTTCTATTTTTAACGAATAGCTGGAAGAAAGTTCTATTAGAGGGTGGCATTCTATTCTTCAACACTATTTTTTCCGAAAAAAGGAGACATTCCAAAAAAAATTTTCGGAATTTTTCCGGTAGAAATTCTATTCCGAACTCCGTTCCGAACATCCGTGGCTGACTCTAAGAATCAACAGATTGATAATCTGGTAAAGAGTAATTTTTCGGCGGCATTCTATTAGAAGGGCATTCGATTGGAGAGTGTTGTTTTTCGGAGGCTGGCATTCTATTTTTCGGAGCACATCTCAGAGAACGTTCTATTAGAGGGGATTCAATAAAGAGGGGCTATAGGGTGTTTTCAGTGTATGACTTTCGGCTTTTCATCAAAAACTTCTGTGCTTTCAGACGGATCTTTCAAGAAAAACCCATTAAATGTACTAATTTTTCACCAAATTTTCTTCCAAGGTTTTCTAGTGACTTGAGACAAAAACAAAGTGAAAGCTTCGAAAATCAATCAAATATTAAATCGACTTGAAACTAATCAAATTCGGGAAACTTGTTTTACCATTTCATTCAAGAAGAGAAAATCGTTCATTACATTTTCACACATTTCTGAACCGTGTTGAAAATCCGCAAAAAAATGCTGGCTATCGAACTCGAACCCGCAACGCACGATATCGGCTTTTTCTACCCCTTCCTGTTCCCCCGGAGATTATGCCGCAACCATTCACTGTGATATGAATTCACTTGATTAGCTGTCTTTTTAGGCGCCTCTAGTATAGAACGACAACCGAATCGGCGAAGGCGCGGTATAATGCTGCAGCCGACAAAAAGCGGGCTCGTGTCAACCACTATGCTATGCATTGGCGACGACCACACCAAACTCTCCAGTCGAGTAGAACCTCTACGCCCTCCCTCCCCTCTTTCTCTGTGGCTCTCATGGCGCAACTGTCACAGGTGATTCGCGCAGCGTCTATAATAGGTGAAATATTGTTCGCGGAAAATCGCCATGGGTACATCGGAACATGCCTGCCGCAGACCATTTACAGACCAATCGCGAACGCGCCACCGCAAACTACCAATATTCGCCCTATCGCGAGCAAATCTCCTACAATTGGCTTGTCGCGAGAGCAATAATTGGCATATATTATTTCGAAACTGGAAGCTAGCAGCTGCTAAAAATTGTTTATTACACAGAAAAAACAATGAAAAGCGAAAAAACAATTAATTAAGTTATATTATTCTCTTCCGCTGTTGTCGTACTGGCTGAAACGGCATCGGAGCTTCTCGTTTTGTCCATTTTTGCCTCAGTCGATGACGATGAGCAGAAGATGATGTTGATTGTTGTTTCGAAGTAACTGAAATGAATTATCTAGATTTTAAGCTCACAATTCTTTTTGTACTATACCTCTGACACAAGTTATCGACTGGACATTTTTTTCGAAATCCGCGAACTCAACACTTCCGTCTGAAATCAACTTTTTTCTCTGATATTCGTTTTCAAATTTACCCACTGTTCCAGAACTTTTTCTTTCCTCATTCTTAGTTGCATTTTTCCGGAGTGCCCAGTCGACATACAGGAAAATTGAGATTTTCTGGCACCCTGTAAAAATTAGATTAAAAATCTGGACGCTTCTTACCTTTTGAAAGTACAGAAGCAATGCTTCTTCCAGAGTTTTTCGAAATTTCGGCTTCTTGCTTCCGACTTTTGTCTTCCGGCCATTTTCTCTATTTTTCTGCAAACAAAACGATACATTCATGGTTATACAGTATTCTAGTATAGTATTATATGTTAATTAATAGACTCCGAACAAAAAATGCGAAGAAAACGACGAAAAAAAAGTAAAGTATCCAAAATAATAAAAAGAAGTTCGGAAAATAAAAAAACAAGAATTTCTTCGCGATTATCCAATTGTGGACCTTTTATAGGGCCAGTTAGTAAGATACGCATTTTGCTCGCGAATGGTCAATTGTAGAACCTCTCGTTCGCGGTAGATAAGTAATTGGTCGATTATAGCCCTTCTTCTGTAATTGGTCAATCACGAATCACCTGTGGAGTGCGTGCGCAGCTATTTTGCGAAAGGTCGCGAGTTCAGTTTTGGTTGCTGCCAAACTCTTATTTGAAAACCCAAAAGTCGACAGACGGACACCGGGACGGACAGACGCGTCTAGCGTTTTATATATAAAGAAGATAGTATCACTAACATTTTAGCAGCCGACAATCTATTGATATCTTGCTAAGGAAATGAGATAAATCAGCTTTAAATATCGGCTTATTCTAAAGATAAATCGGTTCATTCTACTTAACATCCTTCCGTTATTACCTTCACTTTTCTTATATAATCAAAATAGTAAAATTTAAATATTTCCCACCTGAACCACCAACGCCTTGTAGAGCTGTAGCTGTAACCGTTTTGTGTAGTCACATTCTCCATGTTCCAGAAGTTTCTTGATTTTCGAGTGACTCATCACACCAGCAATAATCATGATACTAAATGGAAGGGCCTGAAAAAGATCTTTATAGTAGCTCAAAAGAGATCCCAATAAAGCCAAAAAAATGGATCAGGAAATGCGCTCCATCGTTTCATGTTTGATACTCAGTCAACAAGAAGTAGTTCACTGGAGCGCATTTTCTGGCAAAGAGTTTTAGGTCGCTGAAGCCCAAATAACGCAAAGTAAACGCACCATACTAATGGACAAAATGATATAGCTGATAAAAATACTCCAATCCAATTGTGGAATTCCTTGACCATCTGGAGGGTAGAAAAACGCTGCAGAGTAGACGGTTTCGTTCATGTGAAGACCGAAATTATCCAGCACTGTTTGCCTGAAATTTCTTGGCGTTCAAATGAGCTGTTACTATTTTTACTGTAGATATGGAAACTTTGAAACTATAACTTTTTTTCTGAAAACTAAAACTAGTGTTTTTCTCTCTAAATTTTATTTGTCTCACTGGTGTAAAGGAGAAGTATTCTGAACAAGTATTGGAGTTTTTCATTCAAAAAATTACAGAAAAATATTATGTTTCATTGGTTCATTTTTTAAAGAAAATGTTGTATTTGATTGTTGAGAGAAAAAATGGTAATTGAAATTAAGGAAAGTTCAAGAGCTGTTTCAAAGTTTCTATTAATCATTTTCAATTAAAGATGCACCAGTTGGAGTTCCTCTCGAGTTTGTATTACAATTTTTGAGTCTCGTTATTGTTACTTAAAGTTACGCCTGCATACATAGTTCTGAGGCCGTATGCAAGAAGGATTTTCCAGAAAACCGTTTTCTTTGGAAAATGTTTTTCTTGGAAAACGCGTTTTCCGTATGCAAGAAGCGGAAAATGAAATGGAAAACATTTTCCGGTAAATGATCGTTTTCCAGCCTCTATTTTCCGAAAAATGTTGGCGTATTTCCGGTGTCGGGATATACGTCAGTGATATTGTTAGCCCGAAAATTGGTAATTTCAAGTTTTCACCAAGTTAAACCTATCAATACATAATACAATGTTTGGAAGACTGATAAAAGTGGCAATTATGATTATTGGTGAAATTTCTTTTGAGTGGAATGTTTTCAGGAGATTCCGCTATTTTTCTATCTAAATCTGACCTTGTCTTCATCATAATTGAGTGAAAATTTTAAAATAGGGGTTAATTTATGATTTTTGGAGCTAGTAGGAATTGATATTTCATCATTCAACTCGGCAGACGATAGTTTCAGAGTGAAAAGGGAAATACAATGGAACCTCTGAGCTGGAAAATGGCTCCTCAAAAAGTTACATAACTCATGAGTTATAGTTCACTATAGGAAAAATTGATCAAACTTTACATTGCCCTAATAAACACATATTTAAATAAGTTTCCTTTGAAATTTATATTATTTTTTCAGACTGACGCAGCCAACTAAGCCATTTTGAAAATTTCGAATAATTCGGAAAAGAAAACGCCTGGAAAAAGGTTTTCCGGAAAACGAAAATTTTCTTGCATACCGAAATCGTCATTTTCCGGTAATTCGTTTTCCGTCTGTTTTCCACTTTCTTGCATACGGCCTCTGGTATGCTATTCAAACATGCAAGAAAATGTCTCCCAAACTTTGAGCCAATTTGCATGCTTTTTATCATACTTGTAATCCGG